CCCCCCGGCCACTGATTGGTGGAGTGGCTCCACTTGCAGCTCACTCCTGATTGACAGGGAGGCGAAAACCATGTTTTTAAATATGGCACTATTTTTGCCTCCTGCTGCTGAGGGACCCCAGCAACCCCACTGCTTGCAGCTAGATGGGGGAAGGCAAAAATGGCAACATGTTTAAAATCGGTGTTTTTGCTTTCCTGCCAATCAGGAATGAGCTGCAAGCAGGGCCCTCCACCAATCGCACGCAGGGGCGGGGGACAGGACAGAGAAACCTGCAAGATTAAAGGAGCCACGGCATGGCCCACTTCCCCTGTGAATTTGGTAGGGTCCTATTTATAGGTCACCCATAATATTAACTGTTTTGTTTTGCTGTCACGTTTCCCATGGGTGCTTGACATGACCAGGAAGTGTGCTATTTTTAAGGTCCTAGATGGAAAAAATTAGAGCCCAGAAGAACTGTATGACCAAATATATTTTTAAAATATCTATGATTTTATATGCAAATGCTGTTTTACTCTGAAAAATGACTTTGCAAATAATACTCATCAGATTTGTTTTCTGTATGCTATTCTGTCACATTTATGTGATTTTAATGATGTAAGATTTTGCTTCTATCTCTAGTAAGAAACCAATTCATTTAAATAAAATAAGCATACTACACCTTTTACATCAACAGAATTGAATGCTAAGTTCTAATGATTTATGCTTTTGCAAATTCATTATAAAAAATGGAACAGAGCAGTTATTGCTGAAGATATAAGTTGAAGAACCTGAGATAACATGGGGGTAAACTAAAGCCTGGTTTAGCCTACGGAACCATTTTCATTGATAGCGATATCTGGAAAAAAACCCAACTCAGATTAATTTTCAGATCTCAGGCTGAAGCTTCAAGGCTAGAAGTTCATTTACAATGTGTGCTCATTTGCAGAAATCATTGAGACAGGGATCTTCAGTGTCATTTCTAGAGTCAGTTAGGAGCTTTTTTCTGTCCCAGCGTGGGCTGCTTTTCTAACCATAATCATTCCTCAAAAAATTTACCACCTAATTGGAGGACTAAATTTAGGCTGTGAGGCATTGCGTTAGTTGTACCTGGCTTGCCCAACATCTGTATAGATTGGGCACTTTAATGGAGCTTTTTTTGGGCACTTTTATCTAATAGCTGATTGAATAAGGTATTAGATAAAAGTTCCAAAAAGCCCCACTTAAGTGCCCAGTCTGTACAGATGCTGCAGAGTTGGGTTGAAATAATGCACTGCTTCTTCTGGTAAAGCACGGTTTGTTTGTTTTTTGTTTTTTTTAACATCTGCAGGCAGCCACTGGAACTTTTATGAAAGAGTTAACGGTAAAGCAGTTTTCCTATGCTTAGCTATAGGAGAAGCAAGATGTTTCAGCTGTTACAATATAACTGTTACCCGCATCATTTGATATCCATATAATTGTTACCTCTGTCTGCAACCTTAGTAGGCAGTTAGAGCTGAAAAATGGGGCTGGGGGCAGAGACTGGAAACTTATCTGTTTTCTGCTACTTTTCTAGCAGGGTGAACACTGCCTGGAGCTTCCAGCTGTGGTACTGGAACCATGTAGGTGGTAGAGAGAGGCGAAGTGAAACCTTCTTTCAGATGGAATAGTGGGCAAGGGGGCTTCAGGCAGCCCTCTGTCAAAGAAACTCATTACAAAAGAAGGACTGCACTGAGTGACCCTGCCAGATGCGTTACTAAATCACATTCCTGAAGTCTTGTATTCTTGTGCTCACTGGAACAAGACATTTTTCTGGTTCTATTTGCTCCTCCAGAGTCTCCTGATATTGCAAGGGGTTGTTAGTGGCAGAATATTTATTTGGACTCTCAGATTCTGTTTCTGAAACCTCCTTCCCTTAACTGATGTGGGTGCCTTCATCTTATGCTTGGAATGTTTCCTAATATAAGCAGTGGCATGAAATTGACTTATTTCTTGCTACAGATCCTCTTGCAGTGAAACACTACCATCATCCATGAGACTGATCACAGTGGTATTCATTTGATAATGCCATAAGCAGCAACAGAGGCTCTTGATCTCTGTCTGCAAATTCAAGAAGACAGGATTACATCAATTTGTCTTTGTTTTACATTTCATTTATTTCTAGAAAGTTACGTTTTGCAAATGTAAAATCTGGAAATATCATGTTGTTTAAATGAAATTTTAAATTCTGCAGTTTATGGCTTTTTGTTTCACAGTTGCCTTCAAATTTATAAAATCCCACAAAAATAAGGCTGGAAGGTACCTCGAGCTCATGTAGTCCAACCCCCTGGTCTAGTGGCCAGTTACTCACCTAACAGACCTACCTGTTCTTCTGCATGTTATTGCAATTTGCATATGCAATTTTTGTTTTCATGCACAAATTAGGGATGCATGTGTATACATACATACACACTGTTGAACTACATGAGCTCTTGAGGTGTGTGTGTATATATGTGTGTGTACATGGGCATTTTGGTTTAACAAATCTCAAATTCCTCTTGTGAGTGTAGCAGGAGCCATATAACAAGCTGTCAGCTGCCCTGAGGATAGTCTGAAGGATGCATCATTCTTCTAAAGAAATTTTTTTAAATTACTTATAGAGGAACAAAAGCATAAGTTAGGAAGAAAATGCAGTTAATTTGCAGATACTGTATTTGTCTAATTTATAGCCACCTTATCTGTCTTGGGACTGAATGACTATTAGAAAATACTGATATGATAGCTTGCTTGCTTTACAACAGAACTGAGACTGGGAAAGGACATTTATGCCAAATAAAATTCTGCTTGACCTACCTTAGTGTTGAATGACGAGTTTGAATGGAAGCCTTGGTCTCTAAATTGATGAATATTATGAGCAAAAAATTGCCAATTTTCTTTTTGTATTTGATAGAAACATTTTTTTCCTCAATTAACAGTGGTTTATCAAAGCTTACAGTACTTGAGTTTTAGAGAACATATGTGAAAGTTTAAAGCTTTATTTGAAAGTTTCTGTGTTGGCACATGTGCAGTAATAATAAAAAAGTGGATTATAGTAGTAATATGGTGGATTTTTAAGGGGTAGGAAAAAACCCCTCATGATAGATAGCCTCATGGTAGCAAAATATTTACCTTATGGTAATCTTTATTTAATATAGATTTTAAGGAAGCAAGACTTTTGTTGAAACAGAATTTCTTTACAAACAATAAAAATATATTCTAAATGGATTTTCTCATGTAAACCATTATAGCTGATTACAGGTATTTAAGTTCTGCAAAAGGCAGTGTCTTAGCAGTATTTGAATAGCTTAGGTGCTAATTGGTTGTTCAACTGTGCTGTGTCTGGATTACCTGTGAGTTTTTTTGTTCATCAGCATGTTTTGCTACAAGGTAGAGTATTTTGTAATTTATTTTGTGTCTTTTGTTAGATTATTCCCTGATGATGCATTTTGCTTTCTTTTATGCTTATTTCAACAACTTGGACAGAATTTCTTAATTTTTTTAAATATAACTGTCTAAAGAGTATAGTAATATTTATCTGACATTAGCAAGATTTGGTCTTCAACCTTTATTTCAACATAGAAAAAATGAGTTTCCTACCATTCACTTTATCAGAGTATAGTAGTTTTTACAATACTAAAAAGCTTTTTAATTTCCCTTTATAAATGAGAAAAAAATTACTTTTAATCAGCTTTGTTCTTTGGTTTTAATGTTGATTCTTCTGAATTCTAGCTATCTGTATAGTAAAGAATGAAGCCTGCAAGATAGATATTGACCTCTTACTTTGCTGCTCGCATTATATTTTACATTTTTAAAAAAAATTACTCTTTCTATGGGTGTTTGGAACAGTCAGCATTAAACTTTAGCTTTTTCTTCAGTGATTAATGGGAAGCTTTAGACAGAGCAATCCATAAGCCCTTGCAATTCATGTCATTAGTAATAAAGAAGAAAACTTTCACCTTAACCAGATTTTTCTCTTATGTGCAGCTTGCCCAGTTTAGGCAGCGGAAAGCACAGTCTGATGGCCAGAATGTATCCAAGAAGCAGAAAAAAAAGAAAAAGGCATCAAACACCAAAGATGAAGAATCAATGCAAGATAGTCCTGATATTGACCAATCACGAGGTGATGAAACATCCATGTACATTGGTCAAAGAGGAGCAGCTGCTACTGCTGACTTCAATATAATAAGGACTTTACAAAGTGGAGAAATTGTCAAAGATGACCAGACATATAATATTGAAGTAAGTGTTTATCAGCTCTTAATTAATTAGGTTATTTTCTGTTTAAAAGTGGGCTAAATTGCTAAGTGGTTATGAGACTGACATTGCTTGCATCTGCCTTCTTGTCACAATATACCCAGAGGTGATGCATTTTTTCTTCTGTCTCCTGTTTTCTGAGGCAAAGTAACTTTGCTGAGGAGTATAAAGGATTTAATGGTACAGTTGTGTGAGCTGCTTCACAGAATGAAAGCTATGTTTGCTTTTTATGTTTTTAATAGCATGAAATATATTTCTCAAGTATTGTGTTTATTAGGTTACTCCTGGTAAAGAGAAAAAAGTGTAAAACTAAGCATCTGGCTGGTATTCTGGATGTAATTTGACTCTTGTAGGTTAATGGCCATAAGGAATTTATTTAGAAAACTCTAATTAGCAGTGGGGAAATTAGAAGGCTTAGGAAACTGGTAAGTGGATCCTTCAACTTTTGTTACTGGATGAAATATAACTCTGGCCATTAGTAGCTGAAAGTATCTACTATCTGAAGATTGTAAAAGAGCTTGTGTGAAATAGAATGGCAGTCATAGCTCAATCTGGAGTAGAAAAACATTTATATAATAACATTCATTATTACTGGTATACATCCAGGTGCAAAGAATTTGGGTACTTCATAAAGGAGCATTGCATCCTGGAAAGCAGTGACTTGAAAAAAAACAAAAGGATCAAAGGATATATTAGACAATACAATTTTTTGGAGTCTCAGAACAGCAGAGAATCCCAGTGCCTGAAGAAAGGTGACTGCGCCCAAAAGCTTGCTAAGAACTATTTTCCAACTACTCAGTTGGCCTAATAAAAGATATCACATCT